ATTGCATAGGTTTGGGGGTAATATATCTTTCCACTGACTCTAATCCCACTGAATCACTGGTCACTGGAAGAATGCGTTGTCCTTAATCAAAAGTAGTCATGCACGGTGCACTGGTTGTGGCAGAGGCCCGGGAGTCAGGAGACCCTGTGCTACCACTGACTCACTGTGACCATGTGCAAGTTCACAGTCGCTGTGCTGCTTTCCTCGGCTGTAGATTAGGGAGAACGATACCCACCGTGGTAGAGTGGCCGGGAGCTCCTTAGAAGAAAGAGGCTATGGAAGGGCAGCGTGTTATTTACATCATTGCATGAGTTCGTCAGTGAACCACGACATGGATTCAGCGCTAAATTTAGTACTTTATTCATCAAATGTATTTGCATTTCAAATAAGGCCCTCAGCTTCCCAGATGGGGGAGTCCCTCTTGTTCCAGTCTCTGCTTTCTCACTTTATACCTAGCTGGGCCTTCAGACCCTGGTCACTGATCAGTGAACAGGTGCGCCTCACATAATGCTGCTGGGACTTCCTCAGTGTACACTCAATACAGAATCCAAGTAAATCCTTTTTTCTTTGGCACTTTGGCCATTGGGTAAGTCGATTTCTCAGCCGTACCTGGTATGGGTGTCAGTATTGTGGGTGCCAGTGACTAGGATCCACCCTCATTTGGATTTTTTAGGGGATTTTTCCATATCCTACTGGAAGGCCCAAGAATTCCCATTTGTCTTAGCTTCACCTTCCTCAACCGTCTTTGAGACACCATGTCATGGGTTTAACCCTCAGCCATCTAGCCTTCACTCAACTTCCCAGTCAATGCCACACTTCATTTGATTGGGAGAAGAAGGCTAATTGGGCCCAGACTTACCTGGTTTTTCGTCCTTCTCCCCTAAGAGTGCTCAACTTTCACTAGTGATATAGGTAGACACCAGCAGCAAGACGTGTGCTCTGAAATCAGCTTGGGAACAAGGAAGTCACCTCACTGATCAGCTTATGGGTGCAAGCTATCGAAACAGATTAGTGATGTCCTTGGTAAAGGAGATGGTTTCTTCTTTTGGGATTTAACTCCTGCATTAATTGATCATCAGCCTCCTTACTTTTCAATGTTTCCCAACCACTGGGAATATTATTGGGTGCCACCAGATGGTGCTGTCACAGATAGCCTGACAAGCTCTAGTTAACAGAAAGTATAGCTAGTTATACTGCAGAAGAAATGCTTATCGTTAGTGGTGGTACAATTCTTTTTTAGCAGCTGTGTGTAGCACCAGTGAAGGTGCAGAGCTGCTGGCTACAGGTTATACTCATGCAAACAAACTAAGCTATCATATGGTGTCAACGCATTACATGCCCCCTTTGGGAAAAGTCTATTGTCAAGCAGCAGATAAAGAATGTTTTGACTGGGATTTTGTCATTGAAATGGGTTGTAAATATTCTTTAAGCTCAGAGGAAGAGTTCCATGTGCTGAAGTGAGTGGTGTGTCTGTTTTTTGGCAAAGTGGCTGCTAAACTACATTAGATAGTTGCTAGAGGTGGCATTGTGCTCTGGCTTGCCCTCTACCCCCCCCCCCCATAACTCCCAAGTAGGCGGCAAACTGGTGGCAAGAGGGATGAGGCCGTATCACATGCTATTAGCTATTCCAACTTTCATTGCAATGCATGGACATCACCGGGGAGATTGCTGTAGTTACACTGGGAGCCTTAATAGTCCCTACAGCAGCCACATTTATGTTCCCTCCACCTTCACCTTCTGTGCTACACCTTCTGGAGGCACAGCACAGACGCTGCCCTCCAGATGTTTTACGCCTATCATGCTGGTCCTGTTGTTTTAGTTGTTTATTTTGCCTGTATGTTACATTGGAAATTCAGGTCGTGTCTACCCTTTTTGCTTGAAAAATTCTATGGATGACTAGAGAATGGGTAGGTTAGTGATCTCACCCATACTAAGCAAGTCAATCCTGATTGAGGGGGCTGTATGATTGTTATTCAGACTTTAAAATATCCTTTTGGTTTGGTTTTGATAACTTCTATTTAACTCCAGCACTTGCCAAATAGTGAGCGTAATACATGTCTTGTTAAAGATGCTACACTCTCTGCCATCAATCAATCAAGGGTTGAAAGAGCTCTCACTCCATAGCTCTGGGCCCTCCAAGGGACACTGCTAGCAAAACAGGTATGACAAGACATAAGGCTCCTGATATTTCTAAGGTTAAAAATACAATCACTCCCTAGTCTTTTAATACCTTGTTCATGACTTCAGAAAGAAACAGGGAAATTACTAATTTTTGTCCTTTCTAGGTCATCTTTAAGGAATCCTTTATATGAAAACAAATCTAAAACCATACATGTAGCTACAGAAAAACCATCGTTTTGGTGGTTTCTGTACTTGAGATTCAGCCATCAGTAGCCAGCAATGCAAATGAGGTAAGTTGCACTCACCATCTGTTTGAAAGTGCAATATAACGTTCCTGGGTGAGTCATCAGCAGTGGGGATTGAACCCTGGACTTCTGAATCTTAAAGCACAAGCTGCACCTTGTGCCTAAAGAGATGTTTCTGTTAGCTGATGCTATAGAATATCAGAACAGCTATACTGGGTCAGACCAATGGTCCATCTAGCCCAGTATCCTGCCTTCTGACAGTGCCAATGCCAGATGCATCAGAGGGAATGAACAGAACAGGGCAATTTTGAGTGATCTATCCCCTGTCATCCAATCCCAGATTCTGGCAGTTGGAAGTTTAGGAACACAAGGAACATGGGCTTGCGTCCCTGATCATTTTGGCTAATAGCTGTTGATAGAGATGAACTTATCTAATTCTTTTCTGAACCCAGTTATACTTTGACTTTCAAAACATCCCCTGGCAATGAGTTCCACAGGTTGACGGTGCACCGTGTAAAGAAATACTTCCTTATGTTTGTTTTAAACCTGCCGCCTATCAATTTCACTGGGTGACCCTTAGTTCTTGTGTTATGTGAAGAGGTAAATAGCACTTCCCTATTCACTTTCTCCGCACCATTCATGATTTTATAGACCTCTATCATATTCCCCTCCCCCTTAGTCATCTGTTTTCTAAACTGAACAGCCCCACTCTTTTTAATCTCTCCTCATATGGAAGCTGTTCCATTATACCCTCAATCATTTTTTGTTGCCCTTCTCTATACCATTTCCAATCCTAATATATCTTTTTTGAGATGGGCCAATCAGAACTGGGCGCAGTATTCAAGACTTATCAACCTCTGCATGTGGCCAAGTCACCACAAGAAGGGGACACAGTGCCACACCGAGTGGGTGTGGGATACAAAAGTAGGGTGAGCTCTACCTCGGCTTTCTTTGTCTACACTTGAGATTTGCCTCAGTGCAGCTGCTACGCTTGCGGGATCAGGGATAATTGCAAATATTGGCAAGGCCTTTGCATTCCCTCCTGAAAGTGGATCCGGATGGAAGCCATCGAATGAACAAATGCATTTGGGAAAACAAAACTGCAATGCCCTGCAAAGCTAGATGTGTTAATAATCAAACTTGATTTGAATACACCAATCAGAACAGGAAGCAAGGGCCACCCAGCGACTCATAGGCGGAGCCGGAATTGTGCTGGAGGGATCAGTAACTGCTGCCCAGGGTCATTTGGGATGACTTCTCAAGGGGTTGACTGACATTTGCAAAGCTGAGTCGTGGGTTTGAATTATGCTAGGAGTTTGTGAGCAACCTCTCAGTCTGTTTGGAGCTAAAGTCTCTGATGGCGTATCGCTTGTGGAACGATGTGAAGTGAGTTGCTGCCTGGCTCAAAGCAAACCACATCAGAATGGATCCGTTGCTGTGGATGGGAGACATGGGCTTTGGGGCTAGCTTTTCAGTAGCCCAGGCGGTGTTACCTGACTCCATTTAAGATATATTTTAAAAAATTTTCACTGGCCCCCTCGCAATGTTTCTGGGCACAGATACAGTGAAATTTATGTTTATGTGATTGTCATTCACTATATATCTGCGAGTGTCTAATTCAATGAGGCAATGAAGTGACTGCCTCTTAGCGGTATCACAACATACATGTTTAATAATAATAATAATACATTTAGCTAAATACACAATAAGAAGGTTCTCTGAAATGCATTGACCAATAAGGATGGATTCTTGTCTAGGTTTTATTGCTCATAAATTGTTTTAAACAATATAGAGATAACTAACTAAAGTCGAATTAAATCTAACGAAACTAAAGTCGAATTAAATCTAACGAAACTAACCCCACAATCAGCTGTGTGCAGACTGTATACCCCATTTTCAGCTCGTTGAGCAAACCTTGACTAAACAGATGGGTTTAATTTTTCCTATATGTTTATTTTTATTTCACTAGCTATTGAGTGAATGCATTACCACCCCATAATACTATTATTTTAGTGTATTGCAATAGCACATAGAGGCCCCAGGTGGGATCAGGGCCTCATTGTGTTTGGCATCACACAATGTAAGGCCACACCCCTGCAGCTTGATCCACACGAACAAAAGAGTCCATCTGCACGATCCGACTGCAGGATTGAGGCTTAATTAATGAATAAATGTCTGAAATGTTGTACTCTGTTTGCAACAGGGTACAATAAATGCTTTCAATGAGGGAGTAGCCTGTGATAGTAGATAGACAGGCCTTAAGGTAAAGTCCTATACAATTTAATAGGGCTGAAACCAATATGAAGCTGCAGAAATTTCACGGGGTTCTATAGAAAGTAATCTGAAACCAGCATTACCAACTCTTATGAGTTTATCACGAATCTCACCGTATTTGATGCTTGTCTTAAAAGTCCCAGCGCTCGGAGTCATGGGATTATGCAATAACCCTGGATTCCATTTAAAAAAAGAGTAAATTATTAGCTGTGATAAATGCTTGAAAACGTGTTTCCCGAATAGCTCAGAAACCGGAAGGCAAGTTAAAAGACCCTCTCCCCCATGTATTACTTTAATAACATATCCTGCTTTCTAAACCAAGTTTATGGGTTTTTTTTGGCACCTGACTCGTTGTTTGGGGTTGGCAACTCTGAAAACCCTATGACTGTAGTATGGGATGAGATCTTTCATAGGTTTTGTTGGCCCAGGCTATCAGGACCTATGACAAAGAGTCTAGAGACGATTTTCCGTGTAATCCCATACCATGGCTCAAAGAAGGTTTGGAAAAATTGCCATAAGGGATCAGGGATTGCCCAGTGCCACTCCCAACATGACGGCTAGGAAGGGGGCGAGAGCCACTGCCACACTCAAGATGGCGGCACGAATGGGCGTCAATGCCACTCCCAACATGGCGGCAAAGGACGGCGCTGAGACGCTAATGCCACTCCCAAGATGAAGGCAGGGAGCTGGCCCAGGAGAAAGAGCGGAAGTGAGGTCAGAGGTGCGCCGGAAGTGTGGGGTGATCCTGAAGCCGGAGAAGCGGCTTGTTTAAGCGGCTCGAGAGGGCGGCCCGGGCTCTGGAGGCAGCTGCTGTGGGGCCATGTTCGACCCGGGACAGGTAAAGCTGCGGGAGAGGGGGCAGCGGCCCGGCGCCATAGCAACCCCCGCCCGGCCCCATAGCAACCCCCTCCCCTCTCTATCTGACTCCGCCCCCTCCTGCCTTCATCCCTCCCCACAAAGCCTCTTCCCTACGGGCCCTGCTGGCCCAGCTCCCCCCCTTCCATCCCCGTATATCCCTCCCCCGTCCCCCCCCGCAAGGCCCTGCGCTGAGTGGGCCAGGGAGGCTGAGCTCGCCTAGCCCCCACTCTCGGGTGGGGATGGGGGCGGGGGCGCCGCACTGATGCCCCCTTGCTCTGGCGGGGGCCCTCGATGGCAGCCTGGCGCCTTTCTCAACCATACCATCCACATTCCCCGTGTTTCACTTCGCGGAATCCCCTTCACTGCCAATGGTTAAGAATCCGCTGAACAAACATCTGTCAGGGATGATCTCGGTTTATTTGGGCCTGTCTCAGGGCAGGGGGCTGGACGTGATGACCTCTTCTCTTGAGACCCCTTGCAGCCCTACATGTCTATGATTCTAGCCTCGCGCGCGCCTGCTCCAAAGTTGTTTTTCTCCTGTTGATGTTGTTTTGGCTTGGCTTTCTTTTGAGACCCAAGGACTGTTGTCATACTTTTTTTTGATTAGAACAAATGAAAGAACCGTGGAAGGGATTAGAATGTAAAAATGAATGGAAAGTAACCTTAGAAATCAAAGTAGGCTAATTCTGGGGCTTGCCAGGTGATCCTTTCACTTCCATGTCAGTGCCCGGCCTGGTTATGGGTTGTTTAGTTAAACTGGAAGGGGAACTGTCTAGGATCTTACTAGTGGATGAATTCTTTCTATGAGTTAGCAGGAATTTATACATTGTGATCTTTGCTTCGTGCATCTTTTATCCATGAGAACTGCATAATAACTGTTTCTGAAATGATCCTTAAAGGAGCGGTTCAGCTGTTTCAGTGCTCTAGCTGTAGTGCAGTGTGTTGGTGGGGTGTTTGGCCATGTCTGTGCTGGGTATTTGTTGTCTGTACTGGCTTAAAATGTTTTCTCCCAGTTTAGAAAATGTATGTCTAGACTTTTAAAACAGAGTCTGACCATAGGACCAAACTCATATATCATATATATTTAGGGTACTGCACTGCTTTCAGTCAGTTCAGCAAACTCCGTTTCAGCCCTTTTAAAGACAGGAGGAGAAATCCTGGCCCTCATCAAAATCAGTGGCAAAATTTGCATTGATTTCAATGGGACAGGATTTCCGTGAGGGTCTTTAATAATCTAGTTTTGTTCTTATCTCTGTGTAGGCATGCTGTAAATGCCAGACACTCAGGGCCTGAGAGTATTATTTTGCTACAGAATCATTCCCAATGGCTGCTGCAGTGTTGATGAGCTCTGGGATTAATAGTCTGTTAGCTGGGAATTCTTGCCACAACATGTGATCTCAAGGGAGGGAGGATAAAAAGGAAAAACAGAGGTGGAATATGACTTTGCAATTTCTGTAGTTTCAAACGCTGTAAACATCTGACATAAAATGTACAAATAAACTGAAGGCAGATGGTGGTATAAAAGATGAGGCAAAGTAAGAGGTTCTTACTTAGATCACACGTTTTGAGGGTAGGGGGGAATAGAGGTGATAGGTTGCATTTCTGAAGAAGGGGAAAATCCCTTTCCCAACTCCCAAGCAGGTCTTGGGCAGTACTGGGAATTAACTAGTTTAGTAACAACACCGTAGCAATAAACTACAAGACAGAATGAGCATAAAAGGGTTTTCTTCTGTTTCTAAATCAGCACTTAGAAGGAGGCTGATGAATTGGCAAAACAAGGAGAAGGCACTGCAGTATTGGCAAGGCAGTAGTGCAAAATCTGTTCTAGAGGAAAGTTGGTCTCTGTAGACAGTAGTAACCAATGGCTCAATCCGTGAGGCTTAATCCGTTTCTACCTCGGCTTATTTTATAAATCCTGCTCCTCCCAGGTCTGTCTTTTCTCCTCTGTCTCTCATTAACTCCATGAGGCTTCCGAGCTGACTTGCTGCTTTTTCCTTTCAGGAGACGCTGAGTGCAGAGATTGGGGAGGACAGTAATGGCATCAACCTGATGGAGTTCTCAGATGAGATCCTTTTGCACATCCTGAGCTACGTTTCTTGCACAGACCTTGTTCTGAATGTGAGGAGAACCTGCAGAAAGCTTGCAACTCTTTGTCTTGACAAGAGTTTAACCCACACGGTGCAACTTCATAAAAAATATCAGGTGGGGAGAAGCTGGTTTTATGCCCAGATAAGGCATGGGGATTGTGGTAGGCTGCCAGAGTGGGCTGCTTCAGAGAGTATGAAGACAGACTGATTTCTCCAAGTACAAAACAAACCATAAACATAGTTATATCCTTATAGCCCTGACTTGGAGGGAAGGGGATGATTTCTCAAGAATTAGGACAGTTAGTATGGCTACTCCAGAGACCTACTGTCACTTGGTTTAGGATGTAGTCCAGAAAGCCAATGTTACAACCACTTCTGGTTTTCCATATGGCTGTTTAAAAACAAACAAACAAAAAAAAACCCGCTTAACTAGAATGTACAGTAGACCTATTTCAGAATGTCAGTTGTATTCCAAATCACTTAACTGGCATTTTAAAAAAAAATCTGAATTGTATGTAACAGCCTGCAGGTGATAAACTAAAGGGATAGCAACAACTTGAAAACAAGTAGCTTTAAAAAAAGTTTAATGTAGCTTTGGTCATTTCTGTCTTCCCAGGATGATGATGTTAAGATGCCCTTACAATGTTTCTTATTTCTTCAGAATTTGTTTCTCTTCCTGTTAGTGAAACACCCACATGAACAGGGGGAAATGACTACACAAAGTGCTGTCAAATACCCAAAGTAAACTAAAACCGACAAATGTATTTTTCGGTCTCTTGGGTATAGAAAATCTTAAGTGTTGTAATGATAGTAGGTAGTAAAAACAACTTCCAGGTAGAAGTGTGACTTTTAAGTTGACTGTCTCTCTAAGTGTAGGAAAGGGAGAAAGCATATTTCATCTAATGTGGAATGGGCTGGAAAGTGGATGAAGCAGAGAGAACAAGCAGTAGTTCCTCTGTCAACTTGAACTCTTCCACAGATGCATAATTCTGCAGACATAGGGCCTGAAGCTGAGAAGTGGTGAATACCCTCAATTCCTGTCAGTCATTGTCACTTAGCATCTGTTAGGGCCAGTCAGTAATGCAGACTCAAACTAGAAACTAAATGAAATGTAATCTTCGAGATCCTAAGTCCAAAGGGTAAAACAAACTACCAGCAGTTACAACAATATGATACTTAGTACTTTTATTGTGCATTTTATCCAGGGGTCTCAAAACACTCTAGTAGAGGGTATGTCAGATGGGAAACTGAGGCACAGAGAAGTCAGGCAGTATAATTAAGCATCCTCTTCAATGTTACTGAAGCGGTTTGTGTTTAAATACAGGTCAACAAGGACAAAGTGAAGCAGCTAATGAGGGGGATTGGAAAAGAGATCCACCAGCTGAACATGGCTGGCTGCTACTGGCTCCCCAGTTACACCATTGACCATGTAATACGATGCAAGAACCTGGTGAAGCTGAACTTGTCTGGCTGCCATCTCACCTCCCTCCGCCTCTCCAAGATGCTCTCTGCTCTCCAGCACTTGCGCTCACTGGCAATTGATGTAAACCCTGGTTTTGATGCCAGCCAGTTGAGCAGTGAATGTAAAGCCACACTTAGTCGTGTACTGGAGCTCAAGCAGACCCTTTACACACCGTCATATGGGGTGGTTCCATGCTGCACCAGCCTTGAGAAACTGCTGCTCTATTTTGAGATCCTAGACCGATCCCGAGAAGGCTTAATTTTGTCTGGCCAGCTGATGGTGGGTGAAAGTAATGTCCCCCACTACCAGAACCTTCGTGTCTTTTATGCTAGGTTGGCTCCTGGCTATGTCAATCAGGAGGTGGTGAGGCTGTATCTGGCAGTGCTAAGTGACCGGACCCCAGAGAATCTTCATGCCTTCCTCATTTCTGCCCCTGGCAGTTTTGCAGAGAGTGGAACCACTAAAAACCTTTTAGACTCCATGGCTCGAAATGTATGTTTGGATGCTTTGCAGTTGCCCAAGTCCTGGATTAATGGATCTGGCCTCCTTCAGCACTTGAAGTTCAACAACCCTTTCTACTTCAGCTTTAGCCGCTGCACCTTATCTGGTGGCCACCTGATCCTGCGCGTTATTAATGGAGGGAAGGACCTCAAAAGCTTGACCAGTTTGAATCTCAGTGGCTGCATTCACTGTCTGTCTTCTGACTCCTTGTTTCGGAAGGCAGAAGATGATATTGACAGCAGCATTTTGGAGAGTCTGGTTGTTTCCTGCTGCAATCTGAGACATCTGAACCTTTCTGCTGCCCACCATCACAGCTCGGAAAGCCTAGGGAAGCATTTGTGCCAGCTCCTGGCACGGCTAAAGCACCTGCTGTCTTTGGCGCTGCCGGTTTGCTCCATCACAGATGTTCCTACAAACACAGACAAGCCACCTGTGCAGTCTGTGACTAATGTGGTGCCCCCAGGCCTTGGGAAGAAAATCCGGATTGGGGTGCCAACATATGCCAAGAACTTCTTGGAGCAGTCAAATCAGAAGTCTCAATCCTCTGTGTTTTGGACTCTATTGGAGAACCTCCCGTTTTTGAAAAACTTGGAGTTAATTGGGTCCAACTTTTCCTCTGCCATGCCCCGGAATGAGCCAGCAATTCGGAACTCACTGCCCCCTTGCAGCCGGGCACGGAGCGTTGGGGATTCAGAGGTGGCTGCCATTGGCCAGTTGACCTTTTTGCAGAACCTCACTTTAGCACAGCTACCTAATATCCTGACTGGTTCTGGGCTTGTTAGCATTGGATTGCAGTGCCAGCATCTGCGGAGTCTCTCATTAGCCAACCTGGGCATGATGGGAAAAGTGGTCTATATGTCTGCCCTCATGGACATGCTGAAGCACTGCAAGTGCTTGAGGGATCTCAGGTGAGGGCCTGTTATTGAGCTCCATTTTTATTCATGCATATCTAGAAAGGTGTCTATGTGGAGGAGAGGGGGATCTTATTGGACCAACGTAAGGAGGAAAATATACTAGCTTTCAGGTCCCATGGAAGGTAGCTGTGATGGCCTGAAAATTAGAGGGTTTTCCTCCTGGATAGCAGGTTTGTGGAGGTGGGAGTGGAGTGTGTGTTCTGTATTGTCCTTGAGAAGCAGAGCTGGTCTGTATACCCTCAAGCCCCTGTGGCCTCCAAGGAAGATATATTCCTAAGACTCTCTCTTGGCAGTTCAGAGCATTGCAAGTTAACATGTTGGTCTACAAAGAGCTATCTCCTCTCTCCTGATCTCTTATCAGACCTCTGGTTAGCTCTCTTAACTAGTGATTGCTCTATGATAATGCAGAACATTTACCCTCCAAAAGCTCTATTCATTGCTGCTTCTGAATTGGCCTTTCTCCATAGAGTCTAAATGCTTTAACTCTCACAAACAAAGGTAGCATGATTCATCCAGATACATAAAGAAACCTCAACTATAGCTAAATAACAGTGATGGAAATGACATGGTGTAAATTCTGTAAACATTCTCTCAACAGGTTTCTTCATGAGCTCTGAAGGTGGCACTTAGGTCAATAGAAGTGTTTATTTTTAAAACATCTTTGTGTTGGTGAAAGCTGCTGGATTCAGAGCTCTGACTGACATCTTCTGTCCATGGCAGGTGCAGCATGGGCAGTGGCAGTAGAAGCCAGGAGAGCAATTTAGCCTTTGGCTTTGTCTACACGAGGGACTTTTGCTGCCACAGCTATGTCGGACAGTGGTGTGATCGCTGACCAACGTAGCTCTGTCAGCAAAAACCCCTAGCGCAGATGCAGCTATACTGCCAAAGCTGGGCTTTTACTGATAGAGCTTGTTTCACTTGGGGGTCGGTTTGATGCCAGTACAAAGCACAACTTTGTCATTATAGCTGTGTCCACACTAGGAGCGTTTGGCCAGTCTAGTATACTGGTGTTCTTATACTGGTAAAGGGCTTCTAATGTAGACCTGGCCTTTGAGAGGCTAAACATCTTCAAAAAGAGCTAGTTACATAGCAAGACTAATCTTTGGAGAAAACAATTTGATGTGCAGTGGTGGTTTCCATTTGGCCAGGCCCAGAGAACTTTGCATCCAGGAACTATGGTATGCCTTGTCCTCAGGAGTGCCCAGTCTGTGGTGGAGAGGATGTGTACAGCTTCCCACAAAGGAAAAGCCCACATGTCTCCCATGGTAGTAGCATAAGAGCACTCTGCTTAAAGTGTCATAACTTTCCAAATGGAGTTGGGGAAGGTTTTATCTGGAGGAGTTGCTCAACATTTAAAACCTGTCAGTAAAGTTGTTCGTTGAAAACCGGATTGGGTGTCATTTGGCGAATTCCACCATCCTCAAGAATTTTCTGCAAGCCTAGAAATTAATTTCAGGTGATGTTACAAAGCAGCAGTGTCACCTAGTGAATAAAATAGAGTATTACTAGCGTGCATTTTCCCTCCACTTCCCCTACCCACGTTTGGAAGTTATTAACCCAGAAAATGGGAGCCAGTGTGTCTTTGTGTCAGATTCACATTAGGATGATGACATATTGTGAAAAATCAGGCAGGTTTCTGATTTTCAGTTAACGCAACTGGAAAATTGAGTATAATGCAGGATCTTAAGTGACAACCAGGTATTGCTCACCTCTACGGTGAATTGCTGGGTAGCTGTCAAATAAAAACACCTTCCCACAAGCTTCCTTACTGCCAGAAAGTTCTGGACTGGCAAAACAGGACGTAACAATTATCAGGATGAAGAGTTGCTCAGATACGCCTCCATACCACAAAAGGCTAGATAGAGATTATCCAGTCCAGGGTGGGATTGCCTGCTGGTTGTCATCTATTGGATTACACATCTCCAAGCTCCTGGCTCGACTGACCCAGTGACTGAGTCTCATAACTGCTTTGAGATCCTTCTAGCAAACCTGGACTGAGCAGCCGTATCTTCCTGGTGACACTGACCTTTTGCAGTGGAGATACTTTCTGTAAAATGGTTATTTGGACATGCAGAATCTGGTTAGGCTGCGAGTTACAGCATGGAAGCTGATAGCTTCCAGAAATTTCCGTAAGGGAGGGGGAGGTGTTTAGTACTTTCCACTGTGAATTTTCAAATTGACACATTCCTTTCTGAAGTGGTCCATGTGCTGCAGACTGACTGTCAGATTCCTTTACTTAATCAAATCCAGACCAGTTCTTTGGCCTATGTGAAATATAGGAGAGGTTGCATAGAATCATGTGCTGACAGATTCTTCTCTGACACTCCCCCCCCCCTTTCTTTCTTCATCTCCTCTCCGTTGACCTATCAGGGCTTGAAGATGTTCAGCCTGGTGGCTCAAAAGCACTAGGTCTAGGGTTACCATACGTCCGGATTTTCCCGGACATGTCCGGCTTTTTGGTCCTCAAATCCCCGTCCGAGAGGAAATTCCAAAAAGCCGGGCATGTCCGGGAAAATAGGGAGGGGTCATAGGGCTTGGATCCTGGCTGGGGCTGGAGCTGGATCCGGGCTGGGGCTGGCGGTGCTCGGCTGCCGGCCAGCACCACTCGGCCAGGGCCGGAACCGGGGCCCGGGCCAGGCCAGAGCCGCTGGGACCGGGGCTGGGGTTGCTCGGCCAGCGCCCCAGGGCCTGAGCCGAGCTGGGGTCACCAGGACTGGGGCCGGAGCCGCTCGGCCGGAACCGGGGCCAGAGCTGCTCAGCCGGGGGGGCTGGACTGGGCCGTGCCCCCCAGCCCCAGCTTACCTGCTGCCTGCCTGTTTCAGGCTTCCCGCGAACATTTGATTCACGGGAAGCAGGGGAGGGGGAGGAGCAGGGGGGTGGAGCATTCAGGGGAAAGGATGGAGTTGGGGTGGGGCCGGGGTGGGGAAGGGTTGGAGGTGGGCCGGGGGCAGAGTTGGAGCGGGGCCAGGGCCTCTTTTTGTTTTTTTTAAATATGGTAACCCTAACTAGGTCTCCATCAGTGTCTGTTGTGAATCAATTTTTCCTACTTGGTTCACTCTGCCTGGAGTCTTACCATCCTCTAGGCAACAAGCTCAATGTGACTAGCTTGCTCAGCATTTGGTCTGCTGGAGCAGCAAGGCCCCATTGTCTATACCAGCTATTAGCCTTCTGACCAGATGCCAAGTAGCCAAGTCTGGGCCTGCCTCAGTCTCCGTTTGCTGATGTCATGTAAACTGCTCATTGCTGAAGGGTAGCACTCTGTAAGCAAGCGGGCTGAGATTGGAATATCACCTTTGCTATGGTGCTCCCACTCAGACATGAGACTATCATGTGCATTCTGTATATAGATAGTGCTAGACCACTCCTGATCTCTGAATCCACCAGCTGTTTTCAAGTGGGAGCAACACATGGCTAAATTGGAGACACTCTTTGCACCATTCACAGCCCCATACGAATGCTGCATCCCCCACTTGTTTTAAAGCAGCAGGCTTAAAATTCATCCTCGGACTTGTTTGTGTTTTTCTTGCAGGCTAGAGCAGCCGTACTTCAGTGCTAACACCCAGTTCTTCCAGGCACTGAGTCATTGTTCTTCTCTCCAGCGCCTTTGTGTCATCTCCCGGAGTGGAACTCTGCAGTTTGATGCAGTGATGTCATTCATGGCCAACTGCCTTGAGGTCGTCATGTGCCACATGTTTATGGGAGAATCTCTCACAATTTGCAAAAATCTTCAGCAGACCATTTTACGGAGGTGAGTAAGAAAGGGGCTGAGGTGGGATTTCTGGGGCTGTTCAGGATTTATCCCCATTGCCTTTCCCTCCAGCTTTTATATGGGCCAGGTGTGGGAGCACTGCGTAGTGTTCACATGGCCTTTTAGCATGCTAAGAAGCTGACAGGTGAAATTTAACTTCTTGGCACAAAGAATGGCCTCTTATTTTAATAAGAGCCATTCAATGAGCTATTTGTAAGTATTCTGTAAGGTTTTTTTAATCCCCTTGTCCCATCATGATTGATTTGAAGCTTCAATCATACAGTTACATGATAAATCAAGTGACAATTTCATGTAAACAAAAAAACATCTGGCAGCATTTTAAGTACTGAAGATGTCCGAGTTTGAGCCTTTCCTCCTTCCCCACAAGTAGCTACAGCTCATTCACCGACCACTAATCCCTTGTGAATGTCGCTTACTGATAGTGCCCCAGTAGAGCAGTTCAAAGCCTTCTGATTGGCTAAGGGGGGTTCTTTTTGGTGTAGCCCTTGCATGTTTGGCAGTTCTTAAATAAGTCTTGTCTAGCCCCTTGCAGTGTTCTGAAGCTCACATGGTGGGAAGCATTTGTGTATGAACCGTGAACTCCTTTTGAAAATAAAGCTTTTAATTACACTTGGCATGGTGGCAGCCATCTCACAAAATATTTCCCATTCAACAGAGACTTCACACTATTTTTTTCCCCTTTTCTTAAGGCATTTGGTGTGTTTTCTTAGTCACCTACTGTGGCTTTCCTCTATTACATTTTAATAAAAATTTCAAATCAAATGGCATTATTATTATTATTGCATCCTAGATGGTAGTTCTACCCCAGCCCTTCCCCAGCTTCAGGCTTGTTTTCTAGGATTAAATCCAGCAGAGGCTAGGACTGTATTATCTACCTAGCAAACTATGTACAAGACTGCTTATTACTGCCTCTAGGAGCATGCCTGTTCCTTTGGGATAGTAGCTATTGGAAAACATACCAACATCTGAGTAAATAAAGTCCCTGTGATGTGTCAACCGTTTTTTTGTTTTACTGGGCTGTCATCTCTGTAAAAGCATTTCTTTATCTAATTCATTTGTGTGCCATGGGGATCTTTAGAAAGATCCAAAAATCCCCTGTCCGCTTTTCTCCTTCTACATGCCTGTTCGAGATGTCATTGCAGTGCTGGCCAGAATTTTAATATCGTTTTATTATGCAGAGCTATGCTATTCCTCACGCGTATTGCAGATCTCCTTCTCCTCCTCTTTTCTATGCTACATATCACTTTTGTAAATTCTGTGTCTCTTTATATTTGAACTCCCAGTAATTTTCCAAAGAGCAGCTGATGCCTTGTGGAAAATGCTGAAAACTGTCTTATATTTAGAAACAATTCTGCCTGTCATTATTATTATTCTTCCCTTGTGTTTTATTAATAGGGATGTTTGTATGAAAACAGGATCTTTGGGGGTTTTTTAAAGAGAGCATCTGCTCCTGCTGTTAATTCCCCACCTGAAGTCATAATCCTCTGACACTGTAATTGGTGGCTCTGGAAACGATTTTGATGTCACGTAAGATTATGACTTCAGGAAGAGGATAAGCAGCAGGAGCAGATGCTCTCCTAAGCAACAAAGATCCTGTTCTCGTGCAACTGTCTCTAGTAATAAAATACAAGGAAAGAAATACAGAAAATGATGTGTAAGCAGAACACGAAAGCTTCCATGCCACATCAGCGAGTCTTTAACCATGTGACTTTTCCAGCGTTACCATTTTAGTCCTTGTACAAATATGCCTTCAAATGGGGTCAATAATTGACTCTCTTGACTGTGGTTTATCTGCAACTGCGAGGGTAAAAAGATATGCAGTAAAATTGAGAAGAGATTATTTTTGCTAGCTAGTTCATTGCTACGTCTTCGGATGAGAATTGTAGTTTGCACAGTGTAGCTCTTTAGTATGCTGGTATTGTACCCCCAAATCCAACAATCTAATACCACAGAAAACACCCAGCAAATATGAGATTAAAATAGCTTTATTCCAGAGTAAGAAAACAGTGATTTTTGCTTTGGAAATGATTTCTATGGGCTCTGTGTAAGTCCAGAAAACATGAAGGGCTAGTGTGTGTGGGGACGGGGCGGGGGCTCTCAAAGCTGAACATTTCTTTGTTTTCTTCCCTCCCTCGGAGCCATGTGGGAGTACATCGGGACTTTCTCTGTCGCTGCTATGGACTAGATGATTTGGTTTGGATTCTGGAGGGTCCTGGGGGTGGCTAGTTTTGAATGGGGAGGTGCACCTTAAGTGAGATTAATTGTCGTTTTAAAGCAGGGGTGGGCAAACTTTTTGGCCGGAGGGCCGCATCTGGGTATAGACATTGTATGGCGGGCCATGAATGCTCATGAAATTGGGGGTTGGGGTGCGGGGGGGAGCGGGATGAGGGCTCTGGCTGGGGGAGTGGGCTCTGGGCTGGGGATGAGGCATTTGGGGTGCAGGAGGGTGCTCTGGGCTGGGACCAAGGGGTTCGAAGGGTGGGAGGGGAATCAGGGCTGGGGAAAGGGGCTGGGTCGGGGGGGCTTGGGTGCAGGCTCTGGGCGGTGCTTACCTCAAGGAGCTCCCGGAAGCAGTGGCATGTCCCGCTGTCCGGCTCCTACGCGGAGGTGCGGTCAGGCGGCTCTGTGTGCTGTCCCACCTGCAGGCGCCGCCCCTACAGCTTCCATTGGCCCCAATTCCCGGCCAATGGAATTCATGGAGTTCCCGGCCAATGGGAGCTGTAGGGGGCAGCGCTTGGGGCAAGGGCAGCATGCGGAGCCCTCTGGTTGCTGCTATGCATAGGAGCCAGAGGAGGGACATGCTGCTGCTTCTGGGAGCCATGCGGAAAGCCCCCGACCCCACTTACCGGCTGGAGCGCCGAAACAGGGCAACCACCCGACCCCGCTCCTTGGCGGGAGCTCAAGGGCCAGATTAAAAGTTCTGATGGGCCAGATGCGGCCCACGGGCCGTAGTTTGCCCCCTCCCCCCCGTTTTAAAGGGATGTGGAGAATTGAAGGGCAACTCTGGAAAAGCTTTCTGTTAAAGATGCGGAGGTGCTCTTGCTGAAGCCTTTAGAGTTTGGAGTGTTCAAAAACATGGTCTAGAGCAGTGATATTCGAACGCTGATCCGTGAAGGGACTCACGCTGGTGATCCGGGGAGAGCGGACTGGTCACATGGTGCTGTTTCTCTCTCCAGCTGTTGAGTTACATTAGAAGAAGCTGAAAGTACATTATTTTTCTAATACTATTTTTCCATGTAGGTAATTGCTGCAGCCTTCACAGGGATGTTGATTGACTGTCAGCAGGAGGGGAGGTGGCCCATAATCATAAAGAGGAAGGTTGGTGTTTAGGAGACACTGTTCAAATGTCCAAAGTTTGAGAATCCTTGTCTGGTAGATGGAGCACAGGGGGAGCGGAGGCAGGAAGTCTGGTGTTTCAATCCCAGCTTGGTGTATTGCCTTGCTTTTAAGTCCTCAGTTAATTCTCTTCAACTTTCTCCTCATCTGTAAAATGGGGATCATATTTGTGCCTAACTCGCTGGTTGGCCCAGAAGTTGAATAGAGATGAAGAGGTTGATAATTGTATCCTTTTAGTCTTGAGGCTACTATAGGCAAGAAGCTGCATAGGTCCATCTTTTCATGGAATTCATTTTATGGTAAGGTTCCTGGATTCTGCCGCACTGTGGTGTGGGCTGGGAGTTCTCCAACAGGATCATCTCATTATCTTAAGTGTAGGCTTTTAACAAATGAATTTTCACATTTAAATCAGTGCAGTACCCTCTCTGCATGCATCGGTATTAAATTCTATTTTATGTCCCAACATCTTTGATGCGCTAGAGGCGTTCATATGAACAGCACAGTTGTAACATAAAAGTTGCAGGGGTGAAGCTGGGTTTCCTGGCAGTTGGGTTTTTTGTCATTAGCTGAGACGTAAGAGGTATTCCAGTAATTGGATGCTTATGCTATAATGATCAGTGAAATAGCGAACAATGTTGAAACTTAAATTATTGTCAGTCATAAGATGATTTGGGCAGTTCGCACCTCTCAGAGCTAGTGTGTTAGGCTGTCTACAGAGTCAAGAAGAGGTCGCTGCCTCTTGCTTTATGTTTTCAAGGTTTTCTTCCCATCATAAGGGGTAGAAACCATTTTTATTTTAAACAAAAACTTCAATTTTGGAGCACAGCTCTGTGGTAGAGGGTGCCTTTCATGGCTGTGGAATATATTGCGTCCTGACTCTTGACAACTTTATAACTGGAAGGCTTTGTGTAAAGGTTGGCTTGTAGCCAGCTTCAGAAATATAGTTGTCCCAGTTGGTAGCTGAGTATTAATGGTCTCTGTGCGTGTAATTTATTTCAGTCTCTAATGTAGATGCATATTTGTGAGCTTTTAAACGTTAGTATGTTTGTGGTATCTGGTTCTAGCTTCCCTCGCCTGTTTGCTATACATGGGTTGGCTGTGGTGGTCACCTTTTCCTCCAGATGCCTCTGATATAATTTTGTGTCCACTGCACTGGCACCCAGTAGAGATTGTAGAACTGATATGGAGCCCTCCCCTGATAGTTCAGCAAACAGGATGACAAGGCCACGTTCCCCTCTGAACTGCAGAGGAGACTAATTACTTCACTGTATGCAAATATGTTTCTTGGCATTTAGGGGGGAGGGGTGTTCTATCATTCACTTTTCATGTTGCCCAAGCACACATGAGTCCCTCTTAGGAAATTAAGGAATTAGAGCATTAATCTGGGACTTGGGAAACCCAAATTTGGTTCCCTGTGCTGCCACAAACTTCCAATGTGTCCTTGGACAAATCACTTAAATCTGTTAGTCATAGAATATCAGGGTTGGAAGGGACCTCAGGAGGTCATCTAGTCCAACCCCCTGCTCAAAGCAAGATC